GACGGTGGGTCTCACGTTTGTGCCAGCAACATCTCCTCCCTCGTCATCGTCTTCTATGAGATTTGCTAAATATTTTGAAAAATCTAAACTTCCCTTAGCTTTTCTCAACTGGGATTTTGAGAAAAAGATAACAGAAAAAAATCAAGGAAGTGGGAGGGAAGAAGAAAATTATGGAAAAAGAGGGAGGGAACAAGAAAGTGGCAGTTTCTGTATAACTTTAGAAAAATAAAAGAGATGATGGAGAGAAAAAATGGGAAAGAAAGAAAGATAGGTAGAGAAGAAGTTGAACAATGAGAAAGAGAAATAATAATGAAAAGAGAGAAAATTGAAAAAGAAGATAGAGAAATAGTGAATGAAGGGTAAATATGTAATTTCATATTATGAAATGACTAGAAAACTTTTGTTTTCAAGAGAGTGCTTAAAAAACAAAAAAAGTCCTACAGAATGTCTATTGAGTCAAATTTCACAAATAGTGAACAAAGGGAGCATAGTACTCTCAAATAAAAATGGATGACTAGAGATCCTAATTATTAAAAATATGTTGACAATTCCTTTTCTTTCTCCCACAGGACCAACACGAATAACTCGATAACCCAACATTCTAACCCAAATATTTTAGGTTGAGTTTGGTTTGGTTTTACCCCAACCCAGGAAAAAAAACCTAACTCAACTCTGACTCGTAAAGTGATTAGTATTTAATGACAAATATCCATTTGATCTTTTCCAACCGTTTTGTAATTTTTCCTTACCGTTTTACCCTTTTTAGTAAGTTATCATTTCAAAATTAAAATAATTTTTTTCTCCACTCTCTCCCATCATGATACTAACAAAATTTGAATTTGGTTATCAACCGTAATTTTGGTGACACACAACCATACCTGTATATATCTTCAATCAAGAGACACTGTGAGTTGGATTTCGACTCCTAAAAAAGAAACTCCCCTCTTTTATTGTTTATTAAGAATTAGATTTTTTTTAGTTCTTTCCTCCTTTTAATTTAGAAAAATGGCATTATTTTCCATTTCTCTCTCTCCTAATATTGCCTATTTTAACTTTTGTACCGTAGTCAATGGGATGAAAAGAACGTTTACACTAATTTCAAAGATATTGATATTTCTATGAATTCTTTCAATCGCTCACTTTAGTGCATTTCACAACAACTTCGTTTTGGTCCCAGGCAAAAATAGTGGAATTTCTTTGAAGAATCCTATGCTTTGCTAGCCGAATTTCGAAGAATCTAGGTGCTCTATAATTTGTTTAACATTGATATTGTAATTTATTTGCAAAAATACAATACGTTTTAGAAACATATATTGATGATTTGATCAACACTATGAAATTACATAACTTAATATTAACAGAAATCAGAGTTCATAGCAAGCGGAGGAACAAATAAAGAGAAATCAGAACTTCTTAATAAAGTCATAGATGAGGGAGCTTATTTCATCTGGCTTTTCTTGGTTGATAAAGTGAGCTGCTCCCTCAATCACCACCACTTCTTCCAGAAGCGGCACGTCCTCCTTGAATCCGCCGCCGTGAATATACTCCTTCGCATCTGGCAAATGGTACACCATATCCAGATCCCCCACTATGAATTTCGCCGGAACTTTGATTTTCGATCCAGTCCATGGTGCCGTGAGTTCCCAGGTTCTGCACCACAACACAAACAAGAACAGAGATTGGTTTTTAGGAAGCAGAATCGTCAGAAATTAAGCTTCGATTCAGTAGAAATCCACACCGGCCAATAGCGCGGTAGTAGTTGAAGCCACCGGTGAAGCCAGTTTTGGCGAATTTCGCGGCGAAATAATCGATGTCCTCCTCCGTTAACCACGGAGGCAGGGCTTGTGGAGTCTCCAGCGATCGGAATCCGTTCGGAATGATCGGAGGGCGTGGATCTCTCATTGTGAGGAATTTCTTCATCATCGTAGCCGTATCAACAGATCCGAAATCGGCTTCAGCCGCTCCCGGTTCCTGTGCGGAAAATCCACAATCCGACAATCAGAGATTCAGTTAACCTAACGCAAGCGAACAATTTCGATTCTCTGAGATTTTAGGGCTGAAATTGAATGCGACTTCACCTGAAATCTACACACGTAGAAATCATCGCCGAGCAATAACCGCATTCCATCGAGAGGCGACATCGCCGGATTCCGAGGCATAAAATGTACACTCAAATTGACCAAAGCCTTGACTCGATCGGGCCTGAGCAAGCAGAAGTGCCAGGCCATCATCGCGCCCCAATCGTGGCCTACCAAGAAAACTAGATCGATTCCGAGATGGTCGAGGAGGGCGACGAGGTCGCCGACGATGTGGAGAGGAGTATAGGAGGAGGGAGACGGCGGCGCGTCGGAGTCGCCGAAGCCGCGGAGATCGGGGGCGATGGCGCGGTAGCCCTTGGAGGCGAGGAAGAGGAGCTGGTGGCGCCATGAGTACCATAGCTCCGGGAAACCGTGGAGAAGGAGAACCGCCGGGCCGGAGCCGACGGAAGCGACGTGGATGGTAATGCCATTGGCGGCGATGGTGGAGTGCTCGATCTTCTCCATTGAAGATTTATCGTTTATCTCTTCAGCGCCTCCTCTCTCCGTCTCTGCTTTCGGTCATATAGGGCTTTACCATTTTTCTTTTATTTTTCCAAATTTTTTTATAAATCTAAGTATTTTGCAATCAACTTATATTTTATTTCTCAAAAAACATTTTTCGTTTCCATCTTCAATTTGTTTCAAAACATAAATAAAAAGATTATTTTATCACTCTTGAATGAATATTGGAGTCATGCAAAACGAGTCCATAGTAAAAAGCTTTTTGGTTCGTACCGTCCATAGATCTACTTTAATCCTTTAGTTTGAATTTTTTAGTAAAACATGAAACTCTCAACTTCATAGTTGTATACATATACCTTAATTTAACTTGTTGAGCTATGTTCTGATTGACGTCATTGAATTTAATTAATGTTCATATTTCTAGTGCTTGAAATTTTAAAAAAATTACATAAAATTATTACATTTTTCAATCATTTTCCTCCTTATTTTTCTCTCTTTTTTTCTTCTCTATCTTTCCCTTTTCGTTTTCCCTCCTCAAATCTCTCCTTCTCTCCTTACAAAATATCTTTCCATGAAAACAACTTATAAGAGATGTGTATTGCTTGAAAACGAACTTCTTTTCTTTCTTCTCCAGTCTCTATACGACCTCTAAATATTCAATAATCAAACTATACTCGGAAACTTCTCTTTCATTCAACTTACTCATAATTTTTTTATGGCCTAGGAAGGGATGGGTTATCTTGGAAAGGATTTTAGGGTAGATGACAATAAATTAGTAATGAATCATTTTGTCATTTTCTAAGTTATTATATGCAAGTGAATCAATACGAATTGAAATCAACTTAAAATTTACATGAGGGAAACAATAGGGGAGAAGGAGGGGGAAGAGAGAGAAAGAGGAAAAGAAGAGAGAGAGGGGAGGAAATTACTCAATAAAAAAAATTTATATAAATAAAAGTAATATAAAATTTATAAAATATCCAACTAATAGTTGCCACGTCAATATTTCGTTAGTTCACTGACGAAATTTAACCACATGGACCTTTTAGAACTATTTTCTAAAAGTCATTGACCAAATTGTCACTTTTTGAAATTTAGGGACCAAATTGAAACCTATCATCAAACCCAGGAACCAAAAGTGTATTTTGCCCCAAAAAAAATATGTTTAACAGACATTGAATCCATTTAATTACTAAACCTGAATAAACAAAATCAAGATTGCATATAAAATAGGTCGTAACTTATTCCCAAGGCATTATTTAGGATGAAATTTCCTACTTTATGGTATTGATAAGCTCCACCTATCAATGCAATAGCATTAGAGTTAGCTATGTGCTTGCACACCAGAAAAAAAAAAAAGGTTTTTAAACGTTTGGTTGCTACTAGAAATGAAGTAGTAGTCGCTAAACGGCCAACCTATTTGATTTTTCTTTGATGGCTCCTAAAGTACTAGTAAGAGTTAATAGCAAAAGCAAAGTAAGTTAGGCAACCACTCTTATCTATTTTTATATAGCACGGCTTCCAAATTGCGAACTATAAAACTTCCACCTTCCCTACACTAAATCAAGCAAAAGAGCTACTAGAAGAGCTAAGGTAAAAAAGTTTCTTGACCGGTGATTCGTTAAGAGATTTAGAGAGATATTATGAGTCTAATTTCTATCCACCTTACGTAGTTCAAAAGAGCTACTTTAAGTTTCTATTAATATTATTTTCAAGCATATGTAACCCAGCAAACTTCAAATCCAACAATCTTTTGGCTTCTATTAATATTATTTTCAAGCATATATAATCCAACAAACTTCAAACAAAATGATTCCTCATAAATATTTAAAATATGTTTTATTTTGTCAATCAAACCTAGCTCAATCTAAAAAATATTTATTAACATTGCTAAAAATTAATAGTCGGATATTCCCAAGATCAAATTTTTTAACTTTAGAAAAATTATGTTGATTCATTTTGATATGATTTGACAATTAAAAAAACGAAAACCCCTTTATTTAGGAAAAGACATGTGATGTGCCCCGAATTTTTGGAGACACCTTTGTTTTGTCTTATCTTTTTTTTTTCGAAAGGTGTTTTGTCTTATCTTTTGTTCGACTCAATTGGACCATTGTTTTGTTTCGTCTATTGATTTTGTTTATTATTTTGTTTATTTTCCTTTTTTTTTTCTTTTTCTAATACAACACTGCGTCAGATAATTCAAACTCACCATAACACAAATACTTTATACTTTTAATCTGTTGAATTATATTAAACTTGATTTTTTTTCTCTTTTATTTCTTTCTTGAGAAAATTAAACCACAATTAATTGGGTGTAACTTGTAAGGGAATGGTTCTAAGAATACAAGAATTAAAGTAGAGAACTAGAATAGGTCTAAAAAGTATAATGAAAAAAGTAAAGTTCCATCTTAATACTAAAAAGTCAACAGCTGACAGCTTGAGTCTGTGGTAACGTTTCCGTTTTATCTAAGTTTTTATTTATATTTTAGAATAAATTAGAAAGAAAATCCTTGTGATGAACGAATTAATTTCTACAATTCTTTGGGTTTCCGACATCAAATGTTCAACTAGAAACGATAAATTAAAACAATCTGGAACATGCATAAATCGCAGTGGTTATCAAAAGAAAGCCATCACACAGAAACGAAAAGATACATGGAAATCAACATCCATTTCCAACAGATCAATGCTCTTAAAGATTTCTTTAGAAACAAAAAAAACAAAAACAAAAAAATGCTCTTAAAGATGCCGCCATGAAAAGATAAAAGAAATTTGGAAGGAGCAGAGGAGGAGGATTCAGAACTTGTTGATGAAGTCATAGATATGGGAGTTTATTTCGTCTGCCCTTTCCTGGTTGATGAAGTGAGCTGCTCCTTCAATCACCACCACTTCTTCCAGCAGCGGCACGTCTTTCTTGAACCCGCCGCCGTGGATGTACTCCTTCGCGCCGGGGAAATGGTACACCAGATCAAGATCCCCAACTATCAATTTTGCAGGAACTTTGATCTGCGCTCCACTCCATGGCGCTGTCAATTCCCAAGATCTGCACAAACCAAAAAGATTAAAACCCAAGTTTGTCGTACTAATGTTGAAAAAGGCAAAGGGTGGTTCTAGGAGTGAGTTCATACAAATTAAAAGCTCGATAGTAGTTGAATCCTCCGGTGAAGCCTGTTCTCGCGAATTTGGATGCGTAATAATCGATATCCTCCTCCGTTAACCAATCGGGCAGAGGATCTGGAGTTTCCAGCGATCTGAATCCCTTCTCCTTTGGGATGATCGGAGGCCGAGGATCTGTCATTGTGAGAAATTTCTTCATCATTGTCGCTGTATCAACAGAACCGAAATCCGCTTCCGCAACGCCCGGTTCCTGCGCCAAATTTCAATCTCAATCAGTTAAATCCGAAGTTCTAAAGTAACTAATCGCAGCAAAATTCTTCCGATTCCTTCTCGGTTTTGCTTAATTTCATCTAATTCGAAGGGGATTTGTGAAATTGGACCTGAAATTGACAGAAGTAGAAATCATCGCCGAGAACAGCCCTAAATCCGTCGACGAATTTGATGGATGGATGGCGGTGAAGATAATGCACGCTCAAGTTCACTAAAGCCCTGACTCTGTCGGGTCTGAACAAGCAGAAGTACCAGGCCATCATCGCGCCCCAATCGTGCCCTACCAAGAAAACTTGATCGATTCCGAGGTGGTCGAGGAGGCCGACCAGGTCGCCGACGATGTGGTGGGCGGAGTAGGAGGAGGGAGACGGCGGCGCGTCGGTGTCGCCGAAGCCGCGGAGATCGGGGGCTATGGCGCGGTAGCCCTTGGAGGCGAGGAAGAGGAGCTGGTGGCGCCATGAGTACCACAGCTCCGGGAAACCGTGGAGGAGGAGAACCGCCGGTCCGGCGCCGATCGAAGCAAAATGCATGTTGATGCCATTAGTGGAAACTGTTGAGTGCTCAATCTTCTCCATTGCTCTGTTTTTCTCTTCTGAATGTTGTTCTTCGATTCTGCCGGGTGATTTATAAAAGATTAAATTATAAATTTGTTCATTTATTTTTTAATTTAGTCGCAGAAGCTGTTGGAATAGGAATGCGAATGAAACGAAATAAAAATCAATCTTAGAATACCATTGGAATCGGAGCATTACTATGCTAATTTCTTAATTACAATAATAATAATAAATTTGAATTTATTTTATTAGTACGATCGACAGTAAATATTTTTTTATTATAGCAATTTATTTAACATTAATAATAATGAATAATTAAAATAAAATTACATAAACTAAAATACTTTTTTTATTAAAACAATTATCATTTAATATTAAATTTTGTTAAATTTCATTATTCTAATATTTAATAACAATAAATTCTATTTTAAAAATTTTATTTATATTAATTAATAATAACAAAGTAAAAAAAAAATAAATACTTAAATATAAATTTATAATATTTTATAACAAAATCATACCAACCAATAATAGTTGTATAAATTTTTATTAAAAGAAAAATATTAGTAATAGAAATTAAAAAGAAATAATTTATAAATAATAATTAAGAAAAGTTATGAATCTCGTTAATAAAGATAGAGAAAGGGTAAAAGTAGTAAAATAATTGGTGGGGCACAAAATAAGGAATGAGAATAAGATTGATGAGTGTGTACAAGAGAAATGAATCTGCGTTGGGAATGAGATTCCCAAATTTGAGGCGGGTCCTATAAATTTCATTCCTTGAAGTAAATATGACGTTAAAAGTTTCAATTTAATTTTTATTATTTAGACTTAAATCTGATTTAAAATTACTAATTGCGTAACATTATTTGGTTAAATCTCACAATATCGTGATTTATGTATGAGCAGGAAAAAAAAAGAAAAAAAAAGTAAAAATGAGCAAAAATGAGCAGATTTTTTATTTGGTAAAAATAAATAAATATATAAATACACAAACCATTTATATACTAAATTAAAAATTTTAAAACTAAATAACTAAATTAAAATTAACCTCAGGGACTAGATTAGTAATTTAATTTTTTATAAACATGCTTACACTCTAATTTACAACTTAACAAGAGGAGTCTATTTTTATCCAATGGTTTCAATTTTATACATCTTAAATTTACGTAAGCCAGTTTACTTAACTGCAATCGTAATGGAGAGCAGTCGTAATGAAAATCAATCCTAATGAAATCAATCGGAATCGTAATGTTATTCTATTAATGTTGTTTACTAGAAATTTTCTGGAATCGTAATCAGAATTCGTTTGATGTTGTTTACTAAAACTGTCTGGAATCAGAATCGGAATCAAATATATGACAATTACTAATATACCCTTTTTTCTTTTTACAAATATATTATTGTAATCTTCTCTAAATTACAATAATAATAAATTTTAATTTAATTTATTACTATATTATTGATAGTAAATATTTCTTATTATAACAATTTATCTAATATTAATACATATGAATAATTAAAATAAAAGTAAATTAATCAGACAAATTTTTTCTGTCCACGGAAAATTGGAAGAACTTTACAAGTGATTTCTAATTGACATTTTGGGGGGAAAGACAACGCGAGGAAATCACATACAATGTATGCGGTCTTTATATAAAATCGCATACAATTATGTGTGATTTCTATGTGCTGACTCAACTTCCACTCCACGTATGATTTTACGTGCCAATAGCCCTACCTTATTTTTGTCATTAGTTATGATGCTGACCTTAATTTCAATATTTCTTATTTATTTAATATTTCTTTTGATATTATCTTCAAATCAACATTATTTTTATAATTTGTTTTTAAAATTAGTCCCATGAAAATCCCACTTGAATAACATTTGACATATAAAAACTCAATCTATTCTCTAAAAAATCCAACTCGTTAAATAACAAAATAGATTTTTTTTTGAGTGACATGTTTGTGAATAAAACAATGATTGAATGACACGTTAATTTTATCTCAACAAATTTTTTTAGTTAAAGAATTTAATTAAAAATTTTAAAAAATTAAATACTATTAGTAAATTATAAAAATTAGGATGATTTCATATACTTGACCTAAACCCAAATAATCCCCCACGATTATTTGCACCAATTTGAGCAAACAGTTAGCACCATGGAAATATCGAGAAGCAGTTACCACTTACCAATTTTGTTTTTGTTCCGTTTTTTTGTTTTTCTTGATTTTTTTTTTTGTCGCAAATGATAAAATTACTTTTCTATTTAATTAATCTTGTCTAGTTTTTGTCTTAAATGAAAAAATCATGATAATAAAAATCTTGTCTAGTTTTTCATTTCCAACTACATTTTTTCGCCAAACCGAGCGTAGCTCAAGTAGTTAAAGTACATATTATGACTAAAAGGTCATGAGTTTGAATCCCTATCCCATATTTAATAGCTCTACTAATTTTTAAAAATGTGAATAGGTCAAGAATTTATTAAATATAAAATTAAAGATTTAAAAATTTATTAGACATTTTTTTTTAATTCTAAGACTTATTAAACATAAATTTTAAATGCATGTACTAAAATATAATTCAACCTAAAGGTCAATAAAAATAGGCTTCCTCTTTTACATTTTGTCGTATATAATAGTTGGATTTTTCAAAGTCAGAAAAATAAACATATTTTAGGGTAATTGGAAATAATGGATTTTAAAAAAAAATTACTTGAGTTAAGTTGGTTGATTTTCACTTTTCACTTTTAACTTTACTAAATTAAAATTTAAACATAAGTATATAAAAATAATAATAAACTTTTTAAAATTTATTAATTTTAATGTCTTTTAACCATGCACAAAATTGATCATTGAAAATATTTACGTGGGAAGTAGATTTCAGCTCACACTTGGTACATCTTGATTGGATAATGAAACTTACATGTGGTTGTGATTGATAAACCCCAAATCTTGCTACTTCGGTCTCGTCTTCTTCGACCGAGTCGATCTCTTGTGTGGCTGAGCCGACCAAGCTTACTTAGAATCTCATTCCCATTTATTGGTTGAATCGATTGGCTTCACTTCGACTCAGCCCCAGTCTTTAATAAACTCCACGACAACACGCTGCAATACACGATTACCTTAAAAGAGTTGTTGAGGTCCTGTCGGGAAAATTGTCGAAGGAGTCGCCTATAAATAGAATCCATTCACCTCATTTTCAGGTACGTGAACATCCTTTTTCTCTCTTATCCGAGCCGAGATTCACAGCTTGGTCAAATTCGTGATCAAACAATTTATAAATTTATCATTTAAAAAGATCAACTATAATGTCATTTTCTTTTTAAAATCTTTTTAATTTTGTATTAGGTCACTTTTTATTCTCTTGGAAGCATGTCTTCTAGTACAACATGTGGGATGGGGATGAAGATTCAAACTCAAGACATGTGTATTGATTTATTAGTAGGACTTATTCGAGAGATTGTTACTCTATTTCTATTTTGTTGAAGTTAATGGGTGATTTTTTTTTCAAAAATCAAATGGTAAAAATTGTTGACATTTATTAAGTCGCCTATAATTCAATAATGATAAATTAAAAGTGTGGGTCAAAATCCAATAAAACTTGTCATAGTTCATTATTTTAGTTAAAAAAATAGTAAGGAGATATGATAAATCTTGTCTATAATACATCATGATTAAAAAAACAGTTAAATTGAGTCTAATTCAACTAATTAAAATATATATTATTAACTAAAATTCTAAAGGTTTATATTTCGAGTTTAACATATTGAACTAAAAGAATTAGAAAATCAAAAGTTTTGAAAACAACAAAACGAGCCAATATTATTGACTATGTTTTCTTTTTTTTTTCCTCTTGAGATAAATGAACTATGATCATTAGATTATGATACAATACAAAATTTCAATTATAGTATACGTTAACAAGTCATAATAAATTCTTCCTGCAGAAAAGAAAAGTAATATAAACACCAGGAAATCATGACAATATTTTTTTTTCCTATGGGAGAAGTCAAAAAATCATCATGCATAATAAAATTAGGTTGCATAATCTAATTACTATCAATGATATAGTAATAAAATTAAATGTCAAAACGAGCCTAACTCAACAATAATTGGCATATAACTCGAATCCAACATGTTATACAAAAAGAATAAATTAAATAAAAAAAAACAACCATTGGAATGGGAGATCAATAAAATTAAAAAATCTATTTTTAAAAGATGCATGTAGCTTGGGTAACCTAACTACCAATTAACTTTATTTTTTTTAATACAACATGTTGGGGAGGGGATTCGAACTCATAATCTTTTGGTTTGAGGTATATGTTAATTACCACCGAGCTATACTCACTTTGGCCTAACTACCAATTAACTTACTGACAAAAAAGTTATATATATGTCCAATCAATAAGAACGACATCAAACTAAGGGAAAAGTTGAATTGATCTTTTTTCTTTTTTGTCAAAGCGAGTCTAACTCAACGATAATTGACATATATCTCAAATCAAGAAGTTGTGAGTTGGATGTCTGACCTTGACATGTTGATCTCAATTAAACTTTAGATTTATATAAATGTCCAAAAAAAAAAATTAATAAAGATGTTCTGAAATCTACTAATTTTTAACATAAATAAGTCTTAGCGATTTTGCTACAATATTAACAATTAATTAAATATTTCAAAACACATCAATTTCAAAAAGGAAAAAATAATATCAACCATAATGTTCTTTTTCTTTTAAATGGTGGTAAGACTACACTTTTGAATTTGATAATAATTGAATCTTTCCTTGTATTTAATTAGCCATAATGAAATGTTTTAGAATTAAACCACACAACATGACAAGGCCGATGGATCAAACTCCCGAGATCAAACAAGAAATTAAGTGAAAAATATATTTGTACTAATATTTTTAGACATTTATTTGGAAGTAGATTTGGAAAATAAATTTCATTTGAAAATTGTAAATAAGTGTATGAAGTGAATAAAGTGACAAGTGGTGATGGTTCAAATCTTATATTTACATTGGCAGTGGCTGCATTGCAACCTTGTTGAAAAGCCACATAACTCTTATATATGAATGTTCGAGAGTCGGGAAATCCAACGACATTAAAAAAATATCCAAGGTACAGAGATTTTAATCTCTGATTTTATTTTTTTTAAATATATATTTCAAATTTGATATGTATTTCCAAAAACGTAGCTTGAGATTTTACATTTGAATTCAAATTTGACTTTTAAGTTATACTATTTTTTTTTATTTCAAATATCTTTTTTCTTTTGAAAAATTAAATTTTAAATTTCTCACTCTATTTCAAAATACATATTTATTTTATAATTTTAAATTTCTCACTCTATTTCAAAATACATATTTATTTTATAATCTATATATGTCCAACCTCAAAAGAAACTGCAAATTTCATTTGCCATGAAAATAATGATAAATGTCTCAATTTCTAATGTCTTGACAAACAAGTATTCATTAATATATATTTTAATTAATACAACCAAATACAAGAGTTTTTTAATACAACAAAAATACGAAAGTGGTATTCGAACCCGCGATATTTTAATTAATATATATCAAGCAAATTTGGGCCGAAGTACTTTATTCCCTTTCTCGATCCTTATTGTAGAAAAGTTGGAGAGAATCCATCACCAATGAAAACACACAAAAACAGAGACGCATGATATGATTTAACAAAATTTCTTGAAGAAATTATGGATGTGGGAGTTGATTTCATGGGGCTTTTCTTGGTTAATGAAGTGGGAAGCGTCTTCAATTACAACCACTTCTTCCAAACCAGGGACGTCGTTTTTGAAGGCGGCGCCATTGATGTACTCCCGAGCTCCTGGAAAATGGTAGGTCAGATCCAAATCCCCCACTATGAACTTCACCGGAACGCGAATCTTCGCCGCCGTCCACGGCGCCGTCAGCTCCCAAGTTCTGCACCAAATTACCATATCCACTTTCAACCATTAACCAACTGCATTAAAATTTTTAAACCATTTGGAGTAACTGTAAGTAAACTGAGAGGGTTGTCGTTAGAAGTTAGAGTTACCGACCGGTCAAAAGCTCGGTAGTAATTGAGGCCGCCGGTGAAGCCAGTCTGGGCGAACTTGGCGGCGTAAACGTCGATATCCTCCGGCGTTAGCCACGGGGCAAGCGACGGCGGCGGGACCCCTTCGAACAAGACCTCATTGGGCAAATATGGAGCACGTGGGTCCCTATTGGAGAGGACGTTCTTAAAAAACTCTCTTATGTCCACCGTCGCAAACTCTGCCTCTGCCTTTCCAGGTTCCTATGAAACAACACGCCCACCACCATGAATTTTACGATGGAATTGATTTCAAATTAACTCTGATTTTGAAATTCCCTACCAATCCGAGATTCCAAACGGAGGGTTAACGTTGATTTACCTGAAATCTGACCATATATAACTGATCCCCAAGAGCAGCTTTGAAGCCTTGAATAAACGGCGTGGTGGGATCTCTGGGGAAGAACTGGACGCTCAAATTCACCAGCGCCTTGATCCGATCGGGTCTGAAGAGACAAAAATACCATGCAATTAAAGCCCCCCAATCGTGGCCCACCAACAGCACCTTCTCGATGCCCAGGTCGTCCAGAACCCCGATCAAATCGCCCACTATGTGCAGCGCCGTGTACGCGCCGGCCGACGGCGGCGCCTCCGAGTCGCCGTACCCACGGAGGTCCGGGGCGATCGCGCGGTACCCGGCGGAGGCCAGGTACACCATCTGGTGCCGCCACGAGTACCACAGCTCCGGGAACCCGTGGAGGAGGAGCACCGGCGGCCCGCTTCCCACGGCGGCCACGTGGATCTTCACGCCGTTGGTTTTGACGGTGGTGTGCTCGATGGTCTCCATTCTGTTCTGGTTGTGGATTCGATTTAACGATGAGTTTAAACTTTAAATAGAAGGGGAAGCTGATTTTGAAACGGTGGCGGTGGGGTAGTTAAAATTACCCGGTGTCCGCGGCCGCCGACAAGATCAAATCGCCGCGGACAAGATCTGATTACTGTTCACGCCCATACGCAAGAATTATTGAATAAGACAACCCATCACATGATAAAATATTGGCGTTTTCGAGAGGACAAAAATTTGGATATTTTTTGCGTGGCGAAATAATATGTAGACACGTGTCTGTTCTTTTAATTCTGTTATTGCTTTCTTCAAATTGAATGTAATTTGGAATACTTTTGTTAGGTGGAAACAGATATAGGAAAATTAAACTTCTTACCATAGACATCAATTATTACTTCTACGGGCGTTTTCTTTGTCCTCTATTGTTGAGGAAAGAAGTATTTTCTTCATTGTTGAGAGGGCGGGTAAGTCTTTTCCTTTTTCGTGGGTTCACGAATTTTGTATCATATTCTTCTCTTTCTTCTTTTCAATTATTTACTTTATTTCATTATAATTAATAATTTAGAATAATTTACTTTATATATTTTTTAATTAAATTAATTGTTATGTTTTTTGACAGCTAATTTATTTTATTTAGTGCAAGTGTTGCAGAGTCGGCAAGCCTTTATTCTTTTCCTTCTTATTTTTATTCATTTGTCACGAGTTCAAACTATTGGATCGGGTCATATGCTCTTGGGCCACCCAAGAGTTAGTTACTGCTGTAACAGTTTGTTACAAATAAATTGGTGAGGAAAGCAGAAATACATGATACTGAGGCTGCAAGGAGAGAAAGTCAATTGTGAGAGAGAAGTTCTTATTCCTTCTCTCGGGTTATTCTGATTATTAAGAATGGGGGAGTTTTGAGTGTTAGGGCAAAAATAGTTTGGGTTTTGTTATTAAACCGTAACGATCGTGGGTCTTTTGTTTTTCGTGAGAAGAGTTTGGATCGTCGATGAGCTGTTGTATTCCTTTACTGATTGATTAGTTGATGGCTTGAAAAGTAGATGTAGATCGTATTTGATCGAACCATTATATCTTTGTGTGTGATAACACACTTTATGAACTATATTTCATGAGATTTGTATTGAAATTATTTGTTAGTTTTCGTTTCTTCAGGACAAATTTAAGCACATAAGATATATTTTGGAGGAATAAAGCATCGGGAGGAAACGAGACATATTTGGATCAAAATGAGAGAAATCGGAATCAAAGTGACCAAGATGGAATAACAACAAGATTTGGAGCTAAAAACCCGAGGAGATAGTGCCGCGGCGCGTTGTGCAGCCGCCGAAAGGGGGAGTTTTGACGAGGTTTTATGGCAGTTTGCCTTTTTGGCCAATTTGGAGGGCAAGGAGACCATTAGAGAGCTTAGAAAAGTGATTTTCAAGGCTCGGGATCGTGGAGGTCGCTTCGGGGACGGACAATTGACATGTCGAACATAGTTTCTTCTCCTTTCCCTTGATTTTTTCTAGTTTTATTATGGACTTCTCATTGTGATTTTATTGTTTTTCATTGAATATGAGAAGCTAAACCTCTCATCTTGGGGATTGATGTAGCCATTGAAATTTATGCATTGATTGTTTAGTTTTCTTGGTTGAATGTTTATGAATGTTCTATTTATGCTTCTCTATGCTTAATGCCTTGAATCTACTGGCTATAGATTGATTGATTTTATACTTGAAATCTTACGCTCGGGAGAGGTGGTTTAGAGTTAGAACTGTGATGCATAACTAAAGGAGTTTTAAGATCGGGAGATTTAGAAGTCCTTTAGAGGTCGTTAAAAGACTTGTTCAATAAAGCCTTTACTTGTTATAGAAACTAGATAGATATATTGGTTTCTTAATTGGTAAGGAGAATTAGCTTGTGCTCGGGAGAGGCAGTTGAGATTTGAGAGTTCTTGGCCTATAGAATTAATAATTCGTTCAATCTTGATTAATTAAGTAGTTAGTTCATAGATTCAATAAGTAAAATCAATTCCTAGGACCTTTCTCCCCCATTGTTTTTATGTTTATTATTGCATGTTTATTTTCTTTGATTATATTCTCCCATTTGATTTTGATTCTCTAAATAAAATTGAGCAATTGTATCTGTGGTACTTGAGTGATCTAGAAACCCAATCCAGAGGACGATATCGGTATTGACTTACCACTTTATTAAAGCTTGACCCGTACACTTGCGGTAAGCAATTTCTGCTACAGTGTGTCCATCTCTCTTCTCTACTATTTTATTCTTATGCTGTTTTTTATCGATTTAGCTCTATGTTATTAGATTTTGGTTGGAGTGTTGCTAATTGTCTGTGATATCTGAGTTTAATAAATGGTTACTTTCTCCTATCGATGAGTTTCGGATTTACATTAATCAGTATTAGAGCGATATAAAATTCATATATCTTCAGTCACACAAAATAAACATATATATAATTTAGGGTAAAATATAATTTTAATCACTGACTTGAAAGATAAGTTTCTATTTGGTCTTTATGTTTCAAAAAGTGACAGTTTGGTACCTAATCTTTGAAAGATGATTCTAAAAGGTATTTGACGTTAAAGTTGTGTTAGTATACTAATGAATAATGACATGAATCAGGGGAGTTGTATATTTATTATTTTTAAATTATATTAGATTTTTATTTTCCATTTTTCTTTCCTCTTCCTCTCCCTTCCTCTTCTTTCCCCCTTTCTTCCTCACTCTTTCCCCTCCTTCTCCAGAACTTTGCTCGTTCTCGGTCCTGATTTGGCCCACCTGAACCGTCAGATTTTCGAGCTGTTTATGCTTTCGCATCCTCGACCGGTGGGTCGATTTTCGATTCAATATCATTCTTTTCCTCTTCCTCTTACCCACGTTTTGCCATAGATCTTCATCGTAGCTCGGAGATCCCAATGAACTTCCTACCGGAGAAGCCATGAAATCCAGCTGTGCCTTAGCGGCCAGAGAGAAACCGAACAATATTTTCTGTGAAAAAGGGGTTGGAATTCGATATGGGGTTTGCTCGAAATGTCACACGAATTGAGACGCCGACTGGAAATGGATAGAATAATCAGGAAAGTGAAGGAAGCTGCTGTTGCATCTCAAAAGATTAAACAAATGAAAGAAATTGTTGAATGGATAGCTTTGTATTTTATTCTACAATATTTGTAAATAGTTTTGTATTTTATTCTACAATATTCCTTCTGCAGAAGAACGAGAGGGAAGGGTGAAGAAGGGTGGGAAAGAAGTGGAGGAGAGAGAAATAAAAATAAAAATGTCATATAATTTAAAAATAATATAAAAATAATAAATATATAACTCGCTAATGCCATGTCAGCATTCCGATAATGTAATTGTACAACCATAAATTTTGAGTCAATCATAAACGACCACGTCATTATCTATATATTTTATTTAGGGATTAATTATATATTAACCTTAAATTAAAATTAAAGATAATTTGACCATTAAAATATGTAATTGGGTCTATTAGACTTTGAATCAATTTGGTTCATAAACTTGGTCCAAAATCCAATTTACTATGAAATAAAGTAGATTAATATTAAAATTTAAATAAATCCATTAATTGGGTTTGACCCAAAATTATTCAAGTCCAATGGCTCATCAAAGCATGTGAAAACCTCTATAAATAGAGGAGACCTCCTACATTTTCAGGACTCAGAATTTCAAAATTGAGAGAATTCACACCAAATTGAAGAAGCTCTGAAGACTTGATTCAAAGACCAACTTGAAGACTTTTAAATAACATATAATTTTGATCCAGATTCAAGAACAAACATCTCAATTTTCACATCAAATTCGAGAGAAAGAATAAGAAGATAAATATTAGAGATTGAATCCACTATACAACACATACAAACAATATAAAAATTCAACTCCCCGAAATATAATTTCTCCGGAAATCTCGTGTGAACAGAAACTTTTAACATTAGAGATTTTTTAGAACTATTTTCAAAGGTCAGAGACCAAAACTGTCAATTTTTGAAACATAGGAACAAAATAGAGACCTACCTTCAAACTCACGGACTAAAAGTATTTTACATATAATTTATTTTTAATTATCTTAATTTCAGTCATCTTAATCCAAAACATATATAGAACCAACACAATTATTTTTTATTCTTAGATATCTTATTTCTAGGCATCTTAATTTCAGACTACTTTTTAAAATCTCCAATCAACCCATATATTTTAATGAGTTTGTCCAACCCCTATCAAAACCCCAATCAACAACCGGGGGCGGCTCAAGAGGCGCTGCCGGAGGCGCCAGCACCGGCGGAAGTTCCGCACCCCGATCCCCTGAGGCACTTCGAAGGGAAATTCACACGTTAGTAGCGTAGCAACTACGTTAAGAGTGTGAAGAGGGCGAGTGCGGCCCTAACTTTCCAGAAATGAGAAATATGTATTCAGAAATAGCCAATAAAACAAGTGAGAGAGGCAGGATTCAAACCTACGTAGAAAAACTTCAACAGATTTATAGTCGGTCGCATGTCATAATTCTCTCTCTTCTTTTCAATAAATTTTTTTTCTTTTAATGTAATTATTTACTTTATTTTATTAAAATTAATAAATTAAAACTAGGGAAAATCTTTAAATTAAATTTATAATTAATTAAAAAACATTAAAATTTTAATAATGATGAACTTAATTAATTAATTAATTTATATATTTAATTTTTTTAATATAAAAATATAAGAAATTGATGCAATTAATTAGATGAAAATGATTAATTTTTGTTAAACACATTTCTTTTATAATAATTATTAAGATGAATGGCTAAATAAAGTCAACAACATAATTTAGATAAATTATTTACAATATATTTAGTAATTAGTGAAACTAAAATTAAAACATAATTGCTTAAAATAACTTTAATATTTTAACTTAATAAATATAAATTAACTCATGTAAATTAATTATTAGAAGTTAATTAGATTAATTTAAAATCTTATACACATATATCATTTTGTTAAGTATGCATATATTAAATTTCAGGTAAATATCATTGTGTTAAATTGACAGATTGAAATTTAGAATATTAATATAAAATAATTAATAACTTTAAATAATTTACTTTTTAATTAAATTTGATTAGTTATTAATCAATGTGGTGCGCTAATTTTC